GGAGTGAAGAGGCTTTGACCCTCACTACATCTGTAGTGACCTGGACATTGCCCCAGTCTGGAAGTTGATGGCATGTCTTCAGATGAAGGGGGCACTCCCCAATTACACTCACCTGACCCTTGTAACCCTGCCCCTTCTGACCTTTTTTGTATGGAACTTTCTAAGAATAAGGGTCCCCCCAATAAAAGCCTACTTCTGAGCATGCTCACTCTCTCTCACTAGCCTTTGGTGACTTTCTCTTGCTCTCCATTTAGGGAGCCTGAGACAGAGAGCTGAGAAGCCTTCCTGAAGCTTGGTTAAAAGTAAAGTGTATGTCTGTGTTTTATTTGGTGTCCCTGGAAATTTACAGAGTGACCTTAAGTTCAGCTGCCCACGCAGGTCAGGGACAGCAGTTTAACATTATAGACTGAACTTGTATTTTTCAAATTATTGGTGAGTTTTAGCAATTATGTTTATTGACTACTGGGATTTTCTCTTTGGTTAATAGTCTTCTTATCCTTTGCCCAACTTTCTGTTGATTCATTCATTCATTCTTTGACAATGTGATATCATCAGACACTTAGCCTAATGTCTTCCTTGTGGTTTTCAACAATTTTCCTGAGCTACACACTTCTTTTGCCTTTTTCCTATTACAATGAAATCTCAAATTTTATGCAGATTCTCTTTTTGTCCTCTGGATTTTCTGACTTGCTCAGACTTCTTCCCATACAGATCATCTTTCTTTATTAAAGGATTTTTAAAATATATTTTTAGTTGTAGATGGACAAAATAACTTTATTTTGTTTATTTATTTCTATATGGTGCTAAGGATTGAACCCAGTGCCTCACACTTGTTAGGCAAGTGCTCTACCACTAAGCCACAACCCCAGCCCACAAATCATTTTAACACACCTATTGAAGCATGTTCACATACCACCAAATTTGTTCATTGTAAGAAAAATTGAATTATTTTAGTACATACATTAATAAATTGTGCATCTCTCTCCAGAATCTAGGAAGTTCCTATCAGTCACAACATTTCTGCTTACAGTTCATTTCTACTCCTGCCCCATGTGCTACCCACCCTCTAATCTACTTCCTGTGTTTACAAATTGATATTTTCTAGACATGGAACAAAATTGAATTTCATATTATGGAGATTTTGTGTCTGGTTTCTTTTACTTAGTCTAATTTTTGGAAGTTTGTCAGTTTTGTACCTAGTATAATCATTTTGTTCTTTTTTATTGAACTGTATTTTGATTGTTGAATGATATCATTGACCATCCATTTACTAGTTGTCAGGTATTTGGATTTTTTCTAGTTTGGGGGCATTATATCCAATGCTGCTCTCATTGGCCCACCTATCTTTATGAGAACATGTTTTGAGTTCTCTTGGATGGATTCAAAGGAGTGGATTTACTGGATCATGTGGCAAACAGGTGTTTAACTTTTTATGAAATTGCCATTTGTTTTACCACAGTAGTTATAACATAATCCATCCCAATTAGCAAGGCAACAAAAAAGACTTTAGACATTTTACTTTCCACCACATTTACTGTTATTATGAAAATGATAGGTATAATAACATGTTTTTAAATGTTTTCTACTTTCCATATTTATTTCAATTTTTATTTACCAGATATTCATTTTGTTAAAGAGTTTGGAGTATACTCTACTGATGTGAAATACTCCTTTTATTTTTAACTAAATCTCTACTGTTATAGCTACAGAGCTACACACATATTTAATCAACACTGTGTCTGTTAAAGTAGATGTATAATATGTCCTAGCATTTTATAAAGCCCCTCTTTTATAATTATCTTTTTTCAAATATCTCTTTGGAAAACTTATTTTTTCCTATAAAATTACACATGAGTATCTTCAGTTCTAAAAACAAATAATCTTTTTTGAGTTTTTTGTTTGTTTCATTAGTAGATGGTACTTAGTACTCAATATGTCTAAAAAAAGAAAAAGAAAAACACTCAAATCCATTCAAGAGTGGGCACAAGGGCACACACTTATATTCCCCTTTTTACTTGGGAGGCTGAGACAGACCAATCACAAGTTCAAGGCCAGCCTCAGCAAAATAGTCAGTTCATGTTGAAAAATAAAAAGTTATAAAAAGGGCTGAGCATGAAACTCACTGGGTAAAAGCCCCTGGGTTCAATCCCCCGGGCCAAAAATAAAGCTTAAATAAACAACAACCAAACAGGAATCAACAGGCCTTCCTGAGGAAATTAACTAAAAACACTAGCAAAATAATGGTATCAGAAACTGTCAACTCCCCACCCTAAAATAATTCTTTCCTACCCAACCCAATAGTCTTTTCTTTGAACATGTGCATCTGGCCCACTCCACAAACACTGAACTATGGGTTGTTTGGCTGCCCCTGTGATCACATGGTCTGTCTTCCCATGTGTGAGGAAGGAGTCTGGGATGCCTGGGAGAAGTGCAACTGCTCCATCCAAGAGCACACAGGAGGAGACAGTTTCTGTTTCATGTCTTTAGGAGCTATTGCGAGAGAACAGGAAGCCTAAATCTGCTGCAGGTGTCCTCCTGTCATCTCAGGAAGGCTGACATGCTGTGACACAGAGATGAAGTTACAGGATGATGCAGATGCCACTGACCAACTGAACTGCGCAGCCCTGCATCCAGCTGCTTTGCCTGATCATGAGTTAAAGAAAATACAACCAATTACATTGGATTTCCTGCTATTCTCAGTACAAAGAACTGTCACTGAAATATGTATGTAACAGATTTTAATTCTACCTTATAATTTACATTTCACATCTCCAATAGAATGAGACAAATTATATCTTCATCTGAGGAAACAAAATAAGAGTAAAGTTACAGTCCTGGCATCAACTAGAACAGGTATCACTATCAACTTAGCAACATCTTATAGGAAAATCTGCTTTGCATAAATACTATGCAATAGAACTTACAATAAAATATACATCATATAAATTTTAAATTTGCTTGAAAATAAAAGGTGTTTCTGACAGTGGAAAACTTGTGTCCAAATGATTATTACTTTGAGATAAACTTCTGAATTGATTATTTGCATTATGACTTGACTTACATTTGAACTGGCTCTTCAGAGGCAACACAAGAGTAGAAACCCCCAAATCCATCAATTAAAAGACTTTCTCAGAAACCCATTTGCCTCTTTTATAATAGAATATAAGTGAAATCTATGAATACATCCATACACTGGTATGCGATTACAGTAATACTGTGTTTTAGGTATAAGTAAAATTTGAAAAAAAAATGTTTGATTTACTTTTCCTATTTGTAAATTTACTTATTTCCCATTGTTACATTTGTTTCAATTGTTTAGCTTATGCTGAATTTTTAGGCGTTGCCTTTTTAATTTTTTGATTTTACATTGATAAGTTAAAATCATAGTTATGGTCCATAGCCTGATGTTTGATTGATGTACATTGGTGAATACCTAAATCAACCAAACTAAACTTATGTATTACCCCACATGCATAAAACGTACAAATGAAAATACAGTTGTATTGTGAAGTAAGGATCCCTTTCTTTTTTCTATTGTTTATTCCTTAAAACTGCATAAACCAGCTGGGAATGGTGGTATATACCTATATTTCCAGTGACTTGGGAGGCTGAGCCAGGAGGACTACAATTTCCTTTAAGGCCAGCCTCAACAACCTGGTCTCATAACAAACAAACAAAAAAATACAATGGCTTGGTATGTAGCTCAGTGCTAGAGTAACCCTGGATTCAATCCCCAGTACCATAATAAAACAAACAAGAAATTCTGTGAAGCAGAGGATTTTCACCCCCATGTTTATTTGAAAAGAAATGGAATAAAGTAAAGTGGCACAAAGTGATTTCAGACTCATGGGAGGCATGGAGGTTTGAAGAAAAATGGGTCAGGGGAAAATGAAGACAAGTTCAGCATGGTATCTGTACTGGGGCTTTCAGGTCAGGGCTAAGGGCTCAGGAGGCCAGCAGGGAGGACATGTTCTTTGGGGTCACTGAACCAGGAACAACCAAGTCCTGAGAAAGCCCTGTCTCTGTGGAAGAAGGAGAGCCAAGCAGGAGCCTTTCATGACCTGGGGAGGCAGGACATGGGTCCTTCCTTCAGTGTTGTCACCTTCTCTTCAGCTCAGGAGTCCTGCAGAAGGCAGAGGACAGTGTTGTTTCAGTCCTAATGTTGCAAATGGCCCCCTTTCCCCCTCAGGGTCTATCATGACAGCATTGAAGAAAACAAATTATCAATTCTCCATGCCGAAGCTCTTTCAGAGCCCAGGCCTTTCATTAAGTGGAAAGAAGGTTTAGTGCACACTGCCTGATCAGAAAATCGAATCCAAAATCTTTCTCAGTATTTCTGTCTCGGGTCTTAACACCTCTACCTTCTGCTGTAGGGAAAGCAAATCCATCTCTGAGAGAGGATTAAAGGACCTCACCTGTTGGCTGAAGTCCAGAGCGTCCTAGGAAAGAGAAGAGGAGATGGATACTTAAAGACCTGGAAGCAAATCTGACCCCAAACACCATATTCCCAGCCTCAGATCTGCCACCTTTGATTCCTTCAACACCACAGCCCACATCAGCCAAGGCAGAGAGGGGAGCACAAGCTGACAATATGTGACCAGGAAGCTTCTGTCACACAAATCCAATGGTTACTGGCTCTTCCTTCATTTGCTCAAGGTACCTGACCCATACCTCTACTCTGGTTAGCCTTCCATACCCATATAGGCCACAACCCTCTAGGTTTTGACATAGTAACCACAGACATTGACTTCTGAATTTCCAGGCTATCTGAGATCACATGAAGAAAAGGTTCAGACAGGACCACTGACATAAGAACTGACCTCAGCAAGGTCCTATTTCTTTTTCCAGAAAAGCTATGGAGACTCAGCTCCAGCAGGCTCCTTACCCTTCTGATTCTTGTAGTAGATGAACATCCCCAACACAAGAAAGAGCGAACCCAGCACAAAGCCGCCCACTCCACTCAGCATCTTGCTCTGTGCAGATCCAGACTGCGCCCCTGAGAGAAGAAGCCAGATTTAGCAATTCCCCACCCCCAATACAACTTTCCTCATTGAGACACTGAGATTCAGAGCTCTAAGACTGGGGAAGAAGCCTGAACTACAGGAACTATAACTAGTCATTCCCAGAAAATTAAATTCTTCATGCATTTAATTCATTATTTATATCACAGCCCTGAATAACACCTGATGTAGGAACTGTGTTAGTGGCCTATCAAGGGTGATGAAGCTAATGAATGATTGGACTCCTGGATGTCAGCAAGGCCTTCAGGTTCCTTTTCTTCACAGATTATGTAATGAATGACCCAGAGATTCAGCCTAGATACACAGGTCCAGACCAGAGAGGCAGGATCTGGAGACAGGGCAATCGGGCTGACCATGCCCTGAGACAGCACGGGAAGGTAAAAACCAGGTAGAGCTTCTCTTTTGTCATTGTTCCCTGGGAGGTACAGGTGTTAGAAACTATAACAAGGTGTTAGAAACTATCACAAAGTTACACCCATGACTCAGTACATGAAAACACAGGGCAGGGAGAGGAGAAACCTGACACTCAGGATAAACTAATTCCTTCCTGGTGGGTGAGGAATTTATAAGTTCATGAAGCTTCTCACTCACTCCATTCCACTGTGACAGGGCTCGTCAGGCTTGGGTGCTCCACCTGGCAGGTGTAGACCTCTCCACTCTGAGGAACTGTTTCCAGCATCACCAGCATCTGGAAGGTCCAGTCTCCATTCTGGATCAGGCCTGTGGACACGACCCCAGCCTGCTCCTCCTGGCCATTCCGGGACCACCTGACTTCAATGTGGCCTGGGTAGAAGCCACTCACTGCACACACCAGGAGATTGTGGTGCTGTAGGGGCTGCGTCTTTGTGGGATACACAGTCACCTTCGGCTTAACTAGGAGAGAAAATTTAGAAAGAATAAATCAGGAAGGCAG